GCATAATACCTGTCATTTTAGCAACTAAGAGAGACCAGCTACCACTTCCAATTTCTCCATTAAAGCCAGCCAGCCACCTATACTGGATATATATGTTTGAGATCAGTCAATTAATCAGTTGGCAGCAGCAATAAAGACTGCTATTGATTCAAACACAATGAAAACATATTGAAATAACCAGCAGACCACACTGAAGTAAACTATGCCTGACAACAGGGGTGAACACCCAGCACCCTGCTGACACATGTGAGGAGACAACACTTCACAGGAATACATAGTGAGAACAAAACCAGGAGCCATTCCCTGAAATCAGCCATTGACACAGCAGATATAAACCAGAGCAGCTGGTGGTCAAAGCAATGGGAAATTTTTACATTACCCCATAAATTGATGCAGCTTGTCTGAAAATAAGGCAAGGAGCTTGGTTGAGAATGGATAGTCAGGCTTAATGAGGGATGGCCTCTGTATCAGTGTTTCCTAATTCTCACTCGGTCTTTATAAAGCTGATGCAAATAGAAATCAAATAGAGCCAGCAGTCTTCATGCTGGTCTGTAGACATGGAGCAGGAAATACTGCTGTTCAAAACCAGCTATTCAGAAGTAACCCCAGATACTGATACAGGAAAGCTAGTAAGTTCAGTCATTTGCTGCAGCAGAGGTTTTCTCGCTGCTTAAAAGTAATTTTGAGTGTAGCAAATGCAGCTGCAATCTTGCTAAATAGATATTTTTTTTCTTGCAAGTGGTTTATGACTCCAGCAGGTACATTTCCCATCCCCTCTGGGCTAATACAAATCTTACACCTACCCCCTGCTTCAACAGGTGAAGTAGCAAAGGAGCCCTTCGTAGTGCATGTTCCGGGACAAAGAGGAGGTTCCTTAATAGAGGAGGAGGGTGTTTGCATGATCCTCTTTAGCAGTGTCACAATAACTTGACATCCCCTCCCTCCTGGAGAAAACTGATTATACAGACACTGAAAACAGATCTACACCCAGCAGTGAAATGTCAGTCCTCTTCTCGTACCATAGGAATTGGATCAAACGTGCATTTACTGGCTGCCTGTCCCCAGGCAGTACCTATTCAGCCCCGAAAAGCCTGGTACCTCCCTGAGCTGCTCTCTTGATTTAGTTAACAGCAGCTTTAGTCTTCAGTCAGAAACCAACTTATGCATAAGGGACGTTTTTCAACTTTAATTGTTCAGAGGTGCGCAGCGTTTTCCTTCATTTAATAAGATTTTTTTCTTTAATCATTAACCTCATTCCTTTTGTCACACACATCATTACCTTTACCTTATTCCCTTTGGCACCAACGCTGTACGCAGCGTAAGCGGCAGATCACAGTCTCATTTCCTGGCAAATAGTGTGGTGTTCCAGCAGACTCACCTTTGCCGGTCACAGCAAATACACTCTTCTGGTTCGAGTAACTGCAGTTGCATTAAATGTTAAAGATTTTTCCTTAGCAGCTCAAATTGAGAATAGTTCTTTCCTAGAGCTAACAGATCGCCACTAGTTTTAAATTGGTTTAGGACAGACATTTAACACAGTTCTACAACACTTAAGGTGGATATATCAGAACTTCTAGGTGCAACTATAATTCACCTAGTGAAGGACACGGATGGAGGTTAGGAGGTACCATGCTTAGTAGCCCTACTTCTTCAGAGCTGGGTAAGCAGATGAATTATGAGTGGGGGTCGCTTTTATTTTTTGCCTCTAAATGAAGTATTACCAGATGCCCTGGTAGAACCAACAGAGTGGGTTAGAAATAAGCCAAGTGGAATTTGCTGACCAGGCTCACAACAGTCATGTCAGACTAAGCCTTAAACAGAATCTGCTGTGGACACAAGAAGTTAGCTGGTTAGAGCAGAGGTCAGCCCCTGCAGCACAGGTACCAGGGGCAACCCACAGACACATTTGGACGAGCAAAGCACAAGGCTGATGAACAAAAGCCAGGGCAGCTCAGGAGGAGCAGCAGTTCCCAACTCAGCTCTGAGGAGGTTCCGTTTTCCAGAGGAAAACAAACAAGTCTCTCCATGAGGTGCTTCCTGGCTCCCACTGACATTTCAGTAGTGCTGTGATTTTTCCCTGAATTAGAGATCAATTCTCCTACACCTGACCCTGACAGCTGCACCAGCACATACAGAGACACAGGTTTCTTTTTACACCAGGTTTTACAGTATTTATCCCATTGAAGAATTTAGAAAGTTCAGTTCTTCATTTTTTCTTTGTTCCCTGTAAAATATCTATTTTTAAGAGCCCCTTATTTTAAAATCAGCAGATGGTAGTACCATATTCTCCCTAAAATAAATTATGTCTGAGTAAAATAAAAGCAGCTGAGCTCAGTCTACAAGTATCTAGTAGGTGGTTGGCTATTTTGAAAAGAACAAAGCTTGCTAGCACCTGGAAACTTAAAAAAAAAAAACAAACAACAAAATATGAACCCCCTAATTTGATCCTATGTAAAGTCCTATTGTTGTATACACCAAACTTTTTCATCTGCACTATTTTTTAATGAGATGAAGGACAAGCAAGTTGAGTAAAGCAGCAAGTTAAGTTTATAGTTCCCTGAGCTCTAGTACAGAACATGTTACTGAGCAGCAGCCTTAGCACTAGAGGTAATGCTGATGCAACATTATGGAACTTGATTTAAAAGCAGGCTGCTCTTGGTTGAAATAAAGGTAATTCCTCCCCAGTTCTTACAACACTCAGAAGAAAGCTACTGCAGACTTGTAGAGCTTTTACAGATGCTCACTATAAAAGCCTGTAAAGGTAACTTTAAATTCAACATAATAACATCATTTACTAGTAATAACAGTAAGTAATTAAGTTACTAAGTGCCCATTAAGTAACTTCATACTAGATCTACTGCACATATAGTTGGGGCGGGGTAGAGAAAGCACTTAATATTGACTACTGGTCACTTCAGAGAAGGTACACCACTTTCTGTTTTCAGCTAATCATTCTCCATCTGCTGCTCTGGAACCCTTAGTTTGGTACAATTCAATTGTCTAAACATCCCAATAAAAATTACAGACCAGTGAAGCCCTGCCAAGCACTACAATGTCCTGGACTGAAGGACAACAGGAACGCAGTACCCCAGTGATGCACTTCTCACAGCACACAGCTAAAGCACTACCAATAAACAGGGCTCCCCATTATTATCTGCAGTGAAAGGCACCCTCAAGTTTTCACTGGTATAAAATGGAGTTTCAGATGTCCCGAACTTGAGCATCACAAACCTTCCACATACTAGGCCTGGACAGCAGGGCAGTGTAGAGGATGTGTTTTTCCTTATTGTCAGTGATGTGCATCATAACTTTAACAAAGTGAGTTGTCTTTGGGTCTGATACTCACCACCTTATCTGACCTCAGACACTGACAGACCGTGTTATGTTCCCTTCTCCACCCTATTTGCCAGGAGTACTAGAATAGTTCATTCAGAGCTACAGTGGTAGCTGTGTTACACCAGTCATAACAGTGCCTGGGTAAACAACAAAGATCCCAGACTTGTAGTGAATTACTGGTTAAAATGAAGCTTTCTTTTGGAAGTTTAGTATTGAAATCCTATAGTTAAGATAGGGTAAAGGGTTCACTATCACATGAAACAGAGACAGACCAGTATTAAGTGACAAAAACAGGATATTTTTTTTTTTTTTGCTTGCAATACTGATAAAGCCCTGAGTTTGCCTAGCTGAAGTCTTCTCTGCACAAAGAACTTAAGTAAAAGCCTGTCTACTACAAAGAGGAAAAAGTAAATGTTAAGGTCCCTAGTATCTGCTTAAACAGATTATATTCTGATTTTCAAAGCAGTCACTAGCGGGTCCCCCTTGTTGCTGTTGGTTTTAGGGTTCTGTTTGGTTTTGGTATTTTGTTTCTTTTTTTTTTTCCCCTGATGTGCCCAGCACCAGCAATAGCATCCCCTGGCCTGTAAAGCTCATGTCGAGTTACTACAGTCAAAACCAGATAAATTAGGTCCCTAGTTTAATTTGTCTTGACATTGCTCTTGTTGACTCCTTTCTATTAACATCAGTGGCAGTATGCAATCTTATTCCCCTCTGCTTACAATTAAGAACTAACTTTCTGTGTAAGCAATTTCAAAGAAATCTCTCCTCCTTGGCTCTCCTCTACTAAATAATTGCATTAAACTGACAGTATCCAGATACTTCTGGAGATTAAAACCTACCCTGCAGAGAACAATGCTAACACCCTTACTGCCATTTACATCTAAAAATGTTACTTGTTAACCAAAACTAGGTCTAATACTAAAGCTTCTGCTTTAATCATGGGAGAGCCTGTAGACACGTAGCATCTCAGTCTATGATTGCAATTCCTAGAAGTCATGTTAAGTCACCATTTCCTTGACTATTCCTATATGAAGACAGGCTAGCTTTCAAATTCAAGCATGATCTGGGAGGCTTTACATTTAATATTAATACAGTTCTCCTCTGATTCTTATTAACAGCTGGAAGGGCCCTATTAAGCAGCCACACATTGGTATAGAAAGAGTCCATGTAAAATTTAAAATACCGTACCTTGACTGGTCCAAGAGCTGGAACTATGCCAATTCACAAGTTAACATGACGGTATCTAGGTAAATTCTTGGGCCTTCAAGATAACAAAAAAGCATATAGAGCAAGGACTTTTCCAAATGCTGATTTGCAAATACCTTCAAAAACCTCAAACCCTAAAATGAGTTTGGCCATCTATTTAGCTTCAGTACTAAGCTGCAATTCTTCAATTCAAAATATCTCATTTACACATCCTCTGGCACATTGATCACCATGCTCAAGTAAAATTTTAAACTGACATTATACTGAAACAACTCAAGCTTCAGAGGAAATTCCTATCGTATCTTCCTACCATATCAAGAACAGCAATTTAGTAGTTCAGGTTACTGGCTGGTGTTTTTTTTTTTTTTTAGACAAGTGGTACCTTCCCAGCACATTCCAAAGAAAACAGAGTCCTTTTGTAGAGCACCCAGAGTCTGGAAATAATTTCAGTCCTCCACTAGGTTTAAAGCTTTATTTATAGAAAGTTCACTGCATTAATGGCAGCAATATTTGCATTGCATTTAAACTCAGCACTAATATGTTAATATTTACATTTAGATAACACTTAAACCAAAACAAACTAAACAGTCACAGTTTTAGAGCAGAAAGACAGACATACAAGTTACAGACAGACTTAACAGTAAAAGTAATCACAATTATTTCACTCTGGCTGATTTAGTCCAAAGATCTATTATTTCTTAATCAGATTAGCAGGAAGAGTGGATTTGTCCAAGTCATCAAAATATGGATGGTTCAAGGCCATTTTGCCAGAAATTCTTTTTGCAGGATCATAAATTAACATTTTCTGGAAGAAAAAGGAAACACATTTACTACTCATGAAATGGGAACTAAAATCACATTAAATAGGTAGATATTTAACCACAGTAATAATCAAGTAACCGTAAAGCTAAGGTTTTTTCCCCTGTATTCCACAATTTCTCATAGAAGGAGAGGTCACTTCCACCTACAACTTGGTGGTAGGTCAGTAGTAATGCATCACATCCCAGAAAGTTGGAAAGCAAAGAAACATTTATTTTCCCATTCAATAACCAAGCCTGGGCATGTGTCGGGGTACTGTATGCACCCAACTAAATCCAGAACCAGGCCTCACCAGGTATTGATTATTAGTCTCAGCTTCTCACCTAAGGGAAATTGATAAGATTTGGGCAGTTAAAGCCCCAAATGCTTACAATGACAAAGTAAATTTCTCTGGAAACAGGATGCTGTAACATTGAGACTACAGCAGTTCAGTTGATAGATTAAGTGACTATTTCTTCTGAGCATCTGGAACATAATTTTTCCTGAAACTTAGTGTCCAATAGACCAAAGCTTTTGATGACAGCCATTAAGTGCTTTGAAATGCTGGCCATGGAGGTCATTTAGCTAATGATGGTCTTAAGTTTAGAACCTCCTTCAAGCAATTTGTCTTAACACAAAAATATGTAACCCCTTTTCAAAGATAGCTATTTTCACATACTACTTTCATCTGCAATAGTCTGTAGAAGGAGGAATTAACATTTTCATTGACAAATCAGAGCTTGTGCTCTAGAATGAAATATTTGGGTTTGTTGCCTTTAAAGTTACATGAATACTTCAGGCTTAAGAGTGCCATAGGAAACATAAATAGATTCCAGATGCCTAAGAATTCAGCCACATCACTGTCACTGTATGTTAATAGGAAGCTAAAATTTCAAAGTTTATTAATTCAAGGCAAACTCTACAAGATTTTACAGCATTTAATATGCTTTGAGATTAGTAGTGTGTTAACACCATTTGAGGAACTAAGAATTTTTTTGCCTTTATTAGCAGCAGCCCAAAACATTGGTTTACACAAGGAAGCCACAACTAAACTCAAGTGAGTACTTAGCAGGCCAGTTACATGACAATCAACACCATTCACTTACCTATTCAATTGATTTTAGTTTGTAAATACAAACAGAAACAATTTTACTTCACACTGATTTAATAATGGTGTTGTCAGTGGACACAGGAATTATTCCCAGCTGAAATCAGTTATCTCTGTAGAACACTGCTACAAGGTTCAAAGAGCTATTCAAAACAACTATGTTTAACAAGTGTTGTTCAGGTTGTGGCTCTGTTTTCACAAAGAAAAATTGTGGTCATTTGAGCTTCTTGGGCAAGACTGCTTCAGAGTATTTTGACATAGCCATATCAATATAGGTAAACTACTTTGTGACTGCTTAAAAGCATGAGCCAGATATACAGGTAGCCACTGCACAAGGTTCCCCTTCTACCAAGAGAGTTCTGAAGTGAAAATTATCTTAAGAGAGAAAGAGCACCCACCCAACACCCCCATAGGGAAGTCTGCACTCTATAAATGCAGCTGTAGGATAAGTCACCAAGGTACATCTGTATACTTAGGTGCATCTAAGATCACACTTAAGATGTGATCTAAATTAGTCCACAGTGACAACACATGAGCTGGAAGAGCACTAAATGGAAAAGCCTCATGAAGACCTTGTAAAATAAAAGCTTAGTGTGATAGTTCAACTGCATGCCCACAGAACTACAGTAGTCTCACACTAGGCACAAAATATACATATTAAAAATTTGATCCACCACAGCCAAAAAAAACCTTTAAATGTAAAGGCATTCAGTACAGACTGACTTAAACTAAGGCCCTACTTTCACAGCTAATCAATAAACTCAGCTGTTTCCATCGTTGTGCATTCAGTTAAGATCACCATGAAAGCTTAATGAAGATAGGCTCACCAAGATTAATTTACATGCTACCATAAAAGAAAAACACTTCCAACTGGATCAGCAGTCATACAGCCACATCATAATTAGTGCTGGCACCAGGAAGGTGACAGCTACAGTTTGTCAGCAGGAGCCTTCACTTACACTTGTTTGTAAAAGCTTGTCCTCACTTTCAAGTTATACCTGGCTTATTAGTATAAAAAAAGCTGAAGCATAATTGCATAATGAGAAGTAGTCTAGTCATCTATTATTTATGAAAGAAGTGAATTAATGTCACACAAGGTGTCAGTTCTACAGCAATCACAGCCCATACCACTGCTGATAGTTTGAAGATCTCCATATCCTCATTCTAGCCAAGAGCAATTAGTATAGCCCTGTGTATTCTAGATTATTTGAAATAACCTGTTCAGTTTCTTACTCAGCAGTTGGAGGACTACTTACAGACAGCAGATCGAGTCCATCTTCATCTAAGTTTTTGACATGTGTTCCCAGGCTGCTAGGTTTCCATTTTGGGAATGTGTTTTTATAGTCTTGCAGGGATTCCACTTCAGGCCATACCTCATTGTTGGGGGTACCTAAAGCTCTGTGCAAGCACAAGTGAAATATTGAGCAGTTTAGTCTGAGGTGTGTGTGCACTACTGTGATTTTACTAAGTGCACAGCATCCTTGTGCAGTGCTGCTCAAGGAGCAAGGAGAGGTTTATCCTCACATACCTGAAGATTCTGAAGAGCTGGTCAATCTCCGAGTCCCCATGGAAAAGTGGCTTTTTAGTTGCCAGCTCAGCAAATATGGTACCTATGCTCCATATGTCTACAGGAGTAGAGTAACGAGCAGATCCTAGCAGCACCTCTGGAGACCTGTACCACAGTGTCACTACCTATTGAACAAGGAATTTTTTATAAGTTTATAGAACTGGATCCTCTAATTATTAGACTGCAAGCACAGTGGCTCATTATTAATTCACAGCTTTCATTAAAATAAGAACGAGCGTTCAAAGTTTTAGAGAAAATACTAGTTTCTAACATCATTTACAGATAAGCTTATCAAACTCCTTGAAGTAGTTTCTACCACAGGCAAAGCAGTTGCCTACACTACTTCCCAAAGAGCAGGAAGCCTTTAGTACTAAGTCACTAAAACTCCAGTACTTTGTGAAGCAAACACACGCTTATGAGACAGTGAGCAACAAGTTCTGGCCCATCTGATTCATTGTCAAGGTGATAGTGAGATTCATAAGGTGCTTTGGAACCTTAGAGTGAAACTACATTCTGGGAGACAGAATGCCATTCAGTAAAACAAAACCAAAATACAACTATTTGATACTGTTAGTTTATGACTTCAAAAGCTCCTCGATTCTTTTTTGGTCATTTCCTATTCAGTTATTACCAGGAACCTAGTAAGCGTTGTTCAAATCACCAAGAGGATGTTCCAACTCACTTCATGAGTGTACACCCGCACTGGAATTCCAAAGGCTCGAGCCAATCCAAAGTCTGCAAGTTTAATCACTCCCTTGTCATCTATTAAGAGATTCTGAGGTTTTAAGTCTCTGTGCAGAACTCTTCTTGAATGGCAGAAGACAATACCTTGCAAGATTTGATACAAGTAACTCTGCAGAAAGGATGAAGTAAGAGAGAAAAAAAAAAAAAGAGTAACCTTTAGTAAAGTGCAACATAAAGCATTCCCTTATATTAGCTCTCCCCATAGTAGCAGGAGGTGGAGATCCAAAGCATTGCAGATATTGAGCTAATATCAAAGCCACAAAAATTAATTCTTTACTTAAACTTAGTTTAAAGCAGTTTAATTTCAGTAATTAAAAGAATTTGAAGTGGCATTTGAAAGCAAAACTCCCATTCATCTTATTATCCACAGCTGCTTTTTTAACCTCTGATTTCTCCTTGAGGAGTTAATTATACAGAAAATAAGAGCTGCTTGTAGCTTTGGAGGTCATCTTCTTTAATTTCTCTTGTATTAAGAAATTGATGTCATTACCTTAACACGTGAACGTTCCAAATACTGGCCAGGTGGAATACTATCCAAGTATTTCTTGAGATCCATGGAAAGGAATTCAAAGACAAGGTACAGTCTTGAGTCCTGCATAAGAACATCCTGAAGACTAAAAATTGAATATACAATTAACTCAATTGCAAAACACATGGCCTCACAGTTACATTTCCCCTCTCAGCAGGGATACACGCTGACATTTCCAGCTTCCTGTTATGAAAGCCTTAAAAAGCTTTCAGTCTTCAGAGATTAACAGATTTAGTGAGCTACACTGTCATCTGGAAAATCAAGTATATCTGAAATAATGTCAGATTGAGATAAACACCTTATATGCTTCCTCTTAAAGTTATGTTCCCTCATGCCTAGTATCAGACACAGGAAGTCTGAGGAAAAAAATATTGTTGCTTTTTTAAAAAAAACACCCAACAACTGTAGCTGTTGGTGCCTAGCTTCCATTTGAAACTGGCTTGAATTACTAGGAGGGTTTAAGGGAATATTATAATAGGAACATAGTAGACACAGCAGGATTTGCACAGATTAATAATCATTAATAGATTATAAAGGTTCCTAAACCCAAGTATCCATACATTGAGACACTACAGGGCTGGAACTTGGCCAGTTTTAGGGAATATTAGAAAAAGTGTTTTGCTGCATGAAAAAGTAATAAATATTTTGTGGGGAAGACAATAGCTATGGTCATTCTAGATGTCAGGTAGTCACTGATGGAAGTTTTACTCCTAGCTCAATTGTGCCAGCTATGACAGCATCACAACACAAACCTCTGCTACAAAACAAGAAGGACATGATTGGTGACAGAGGCTCACATAAGAGCACTAAGGTCAAGTGATCTAATCCAAGGCAGCAAATAAAGTTCAAAGACTGAGTAAAGTAACATCTTAAACCAGTTTTCATGAGGTACGCTGTCTCCATTCTGACAATAACCACATACATTGCAAAATCAACAAAAATTTGTTGATCCCTAGAGGCAGCACGAGGAAGTCTTAAGTAGAAAACTAGCATAAACACAGGATTTGGAATTATAGCTATTTGCTGCAAAGCAGACACTGTATTAAGCTGAGCAGCTCTCACCTCACTAGAATGGTGGAAAAATAATTTCTTATTTGAAGGGACCTAGTGCCCTTCAAAGAATTTAGCTAAATACCAGTTTATGCATACCAGACTATATTGGGATGATGCAGCTCTTTTAATAAAGAAATTTCCCGGATAGCAGTACACGGAACACCTTCCTCCTCACTTTCTAGACGTATTTTCTTCATTGCAACCACTTGGCCTGTGGTTTTGTGCCGACCTTTATACACAACACCATAGGTACCTGAACAAAAAGACAGTGAAACGCATATAGGAAATACCAGCTTCAGGTACAGAGAAGTCATGGGAAATAAGAATTGCTAACATAGGCAGGGGTCCTTCCAATCAGGTATCTTTTGTTTAAGTGTTTATGCTTGATCATGATCTACTACTTAGTTTTGGCAGTTTAACCATGTAATAGTTTTGTTTGTTTAAAGCATGTCACCCATCATTTGTTAGGACTGGGTACTTAGTAGCTTAAGTGTGAAACATGAATATTTGGAAGATATAGTTGTAAAAAAAAAACCTACTAGCATTTCATACCAGCTTTCAGACAAGATCACTGTATCTTTTCATCCTGAAGGGGTTATGATTTTGCTATTGATACCTCATATTAAAATGTTAAAGGTTTAGCTGTGAAAAAAGTAGTGCTCCCTCCGCAATCAGGGACCTACCCATCTATTGGTCAGATCTATAGAAATATCTCCAGCACAATCCTCAGTGCAGGAAAGAGGGTAGTGCTGTGGGTCTCAGCAGAAGCTAAAATTGTAACCAGTAGTAAATCTCAAATCAATAATCTATTTTAATTATCAGTGTTCACAGAAGTAGAACCCTCAACAAATCAAGACAGCTTAAGTATTCTCTTTTCACGCTTCTTGAAGCATTAATCCCTCAGATTGAGTTCAAACAAACTAATTTCTTTCAGGAAGAAAGATTAATGCACAAGGTTTAAGTTACAAAGCTTTGTTGTAAGATCCAAGCCCATACATTTTTGCAATTACCTTAGAGAGCACCTTCTCAGAGTAACATACTGCAAATTTTCAAGTGTACATAAGGCTAAAACACACTGACTTCTACGTTTAACATCGGTTGGATTTCCAGTGAAAAAGGGGTTGTGACTAACATCCACATTGAAGCAATCTTCTTAGCGCCTCATAGTAAATTAATCATTAAAATTCACTTCTTAAGACATTTACAGTCTGCTCTTCCTCTTAACAAGGATAGTGACTAGATATAATCAGAGGAGAACAATCCACTACCCCCTACCAGCAGCTCCCATCAAATTAGGTATACCATGCAGTGCAACTTCAGGAGCAACTGGTACACCAGTTCATATACAAAGGAATGGAGGAGCTTCCTAAATTGAAAAGCTGGTTTCAGGCCTCAGATTATATTTTATTCTCCTCTTGGAAGAGAATGACACTATTACCTATCAATATGAAGGCAGACGCTTTTCAACACCAATCAGTTGTTTCAAATAGATCATGCCACCTTCAAAAGAAGGGCAGTCTGAAAGCTTTTACATCTAGGGATAATTACCACAGTTAACCAAAGGCTTATTTTGCTAGTTAATTGCATCTCAGTAGTTCCTCTAATAGCCAGAGTGCACAGAGCTTCTGTGACACTTGGTAAGTCAAACCATAGAGCATCACAAGACTCATGGTTCTCTCTCTCTATACTTACCTTCCCCAATCTTCTCTATTTTAGTGTAATCATCCATTGCTATTGCTGTCCCTGAAACAAACAGGAAAAGAAAACCATGAGGGTGAACAGTTGCTGTCCTGAATGCAGCCAAATCACTGAAATTATGCCAGGTCTTTAGAAGGAAGTTTTGTCTTATGTAATTAGGATGTGATATGGAACAATTACAGTTCTCCTTAAGAAAAATGCAGTGTTTTATTCAGGGTTCCAACTAGAACTACATCCTCAAGTATGATTAGGCACCAACCCAAAGGAGAAGGATGCTTTTTGTGAAGGAAGCTGTTCCCAGCAAGTGAAAAAATACACCCTACTCTTTAGTTTTATGTAGTTAGTCACTCGCAGGACCCCTACCACCTTAAATCACAAGGGTTGATGTTAAGAACGCAAGGGGACACCCGCCTCATATCACTCGGTGAGCACACAGCGCAGTCTTCGGGGCTAGGAGCCCTTGGCGGGCACAAGGTCCCGGAAGGTGCCCCCCCCCACCCCCCACGGTGGGACCGGCACTTGACACCTTCCCTGCTGCCCTTGGCCTCCTTCATGGAGCTCGCTAACACCGGGCTCAGACGCGCTACGAGATAACGAGCGAGGCCGCGGCTCCCTCCGGCTCCGGAGGAGGAGGCGGCCTCCGCGCTGGGGGCCGCCACTCAGCGAGCGGGGAAGGGCGGGCGGCGAGAACTCACCCCCAGCCTTCTAACCGCGGCCGCGCTTCCCCCTGGGCCCAGCTCCCGCCCCACTGTCACAGGCCGCGGCACCTCGAGAAGGCCCCCGGTGAGGGGGGAACTCGCCCCGGAGGGCTCGGGCCCCTGCCCGGTGAGGAGGGCCCGCCGGCAGGCCGCTGAGCACCGACCCTACCTCCCCCCGCCTCCCCCGCAACCGTTACGCGGCCGCACGCACCAACGGCCGCCGAGAAGCGGCTCAGCCGACCCCTTCGCCGGTCCGGCCTGAGGATTCCCCGCCGGCCTCCGCTCGCCCTCACCCGAGGAGCCGCCGCCGCCGAGCCCGCTACCCGCCGCGAGGACCTCCCTCAGCCTGCCCGAGGGGGGCGGGCGCAGCGCATTCGAACCGGCCGCCGGCCCCGCTCCGCCAATGGCGCCGCGCCGAGATGATTCAAAGGGGCCAATCAGCGCCCGCCTTTCCAACGGCGCCAAAGGGAGACCGAAAGGCGGCTTTTTGCTTCCGCGGTGAAAAGCGGCGCGGCCGGGCGCGGGGAGCTGAAGGATGTGCGGGGCGTCCCTTCGGTTGGCGAGCGGTGCGGGAGGGCTCGGAGCGCGGGCGGGACTTTTTGTCCCAATGCTGCCGTCCGAGGGCACTGGCGCAATGGGTCGCGCTGGGACGGCGCTAATGGGCAAACTGGTCGCTGCTCAAACGTCACATTAGGCTGTTCGGATGGTGTGGGGAATATAATCGTACCCGGATCGAGCTAGGCTCCTGGCTGCAGCCGCTCCTTCTAATCAGGCAAATCGTTTAGATTTAGGTGCTGCGTCCGGACAAAGCATAAATTTCACGATTTCTGGCTGGAAGGGTGCTGACCTGTGAAGCACAGCACTGCTGTGACTTTTTGAAGCCGGTTTTAAAGTACACGCATTAATGAAAGGTCATTGGGTAATTTAATTCTCCAGAAACCGGGACATATTTAATTTGTCTGTAGGCAAATTGAAGTTGTGTATCACCGCTCCCAGATTAAGAACAATTAGTCCCTGTGCTATCACAGCTTCCGAAAGAAGGATTGGGGATGTAACTGGAGAGGCACCTGCAGGCTTTGATCAGGGAGCCCCTCTGGCAGTTGCATCCACCCAGCTCCATCAGTACCTGGGGAAATAGTAATGCAATACACTTAGATTTAAAAAAAAAAAAAGCCTGGGAAAATCCTGTTCCAAACTGCTCCAGAGGAGGCTGCTGTATACAGAAAAGTACTGCTTCTCCCCTAAAAGCATTTCTCTGGGAGGGTGATTCCAGCCAGCAGGACTGTTCATGGTGCACTCCCTTCTTCTCTTCCCTAGCCCATGGCACAGGCGAGAGGCAGCTCGTCCAGCTCCTCCTCCCCAACACACGCATGTTCCAGGGGTAAAAATCCTCCACTTTCCCCTCCCTCCTGGGGAATTTTTGAAGCGTACGGTGCGCATGCTCGCAGGTTTCTGCTTACATTTCATCGCGTTTTCCCAGCACTTGCTGGAGATTTACCTGCCTAGAACAAGGCTTTCATATCTCTGGGAATTCCCAGATGGAAATACAGCCTCACAGCTTGTGCAGTTTGTAGAAAAAGAGTCCGATGCGTTCTGCCCTGCACAGAGAAACCCTTCCCTGTGTGTGTAACAACTCCCAACACAGCTGAGACAGCCCAGGCAGGCTCAGTTGTGCACATGGGCTGGCTGGCATCGCTCAGGGCCTGATTTGGCAGGGGCAGCACTCCCAGGCTGTGCCTGCTCCTCAGCTTTGGGGGGGATTGCTCTCTATGGCCAGCACAGGACCGGAGCTACTGCGGCTGACTCCGCCGGGCTAATCCTTCTCCAGAGACCTTAGGAAGGCAGCCAAAGTCCACCTTTCCCTTCAGATAAAAAGAAAACACATCTGGGAAATCCCAGACACCTTGTAACCTTAGTTAACTTGGGAGGGGGGAGGTTAGAAATATCACGAACATTCAGTACTATAAATTAATATGTTATATTAAAATATATAGATTATATTTATATATAAAATATACTGTGGAAGTACCAAATACACTGATTTGAATTTTCTTGAAAGCAACATTTTCCTTTTTTTTTTCTCTTTTTAACCGGTTTTAGTCTAAATATACACAAATATTTCTTAGCTGTACTCCTACGGTCATTTGTTCTCAGAGCGCTCACTGAATTTTCAAATGCTTTGAGAATTGATCTTTTTCCATATATCCCATTGCTTCATGAGTTTTGAGTGGTGAAGACCAGGAAGCACCAGAAGGAAAGCTGTTTGAAGGAGAACTGTGCTTTCTTCCCCAGGACCCTGCTCCATGAGCCAGCGGCATACAATGCTGTTGTCAGTGTGAGGCAGTGGTCCCCTCCACTGATGACAAGTTTTGCTGTTTCTGATACCTTTAGGAAAAAACCTAGGAGGTGGGAGGCTTTGAGATCCGTGCGATTGCTGTTACACTCATTGTCCCTGCCTTTGCGTCTGCTCTTGTGACTCCACCTCGCCGCACAAATTGTGCTGGTTTAATCACAGGTAAACAGCTCAGGGAAGTGATTTTGTTGTGGTGTCCGTGTTCGGTGGACTAGCAGCTGTGTACCAACACCTCAGAGCAAGGGGGAATGCCGTTGTGTGCAGTGCTTTCCTCCAAGAACAGCAGGGGTTACTTTGCCATTAGTGTGTGCTCCGAGTGACACGGTTTAGTGATGGGGTTTTTATCAGAGTTAGGTTGATGGTTGGACTAGTGGATGGTTGATCTTAAAGGTCCCTTCCAATCTAGACAATTCTATGATTCCAGGAGTGCTCAGTGGCTGTGACAGTGGCTATTGACTGAAACCAGCACACACCAATTTCAGCTTGTCCCTGTCACTTCACAGAACACTTGTGCACGGCGTAACTCTGTGAGCACTGACAGAGGTGCTACGTGCTCCATGCCCATGCTCTCCATGCTCACTTTCTCCGTCCCTCTCTGTGTTCCAGTAAGCTCCAGCTAGCTTGCTTTTATGACAGAGTGCATGGAAGTATAGACCTGTCATGGTATTAATTCACCAAATATCAGACTGACAGTTGTGCTTATCCAGTGCTTCCCTCCCTCTTGCTGTTGTCTGCATACCCTTAGGGTATAAATCATGTCTCATTTCTGACTGGAAAGTGCTTATCTTGGGCTGATCGTTGCTTTAGACTTGGCAGTAGCTAATGATACTGCTTGAGACGAGTGATAAAACTACAGTTGTATTGACTTTTGTGTTTGAGGAGATTCACTGTTCTGCTGGTAGGAACAGGAGAGGTGCAGATGTGGGAATCCCCAGGTCTGCTGCTCCCCTGTACTGCAAAACATGGATCCAAGTGCAAAGCTGAGGGAGAACTCAGCAAAGGAATCTAGATCTACCTCGCCAATACAATGTTAGCCACCATTTTTCTTACATAAATGAGTAAAGACCACATATATTAAAACCTCTTTGGCATCCAAAACTTCCACTTGCTTGAACTGCTGTGCTGTTTGTACAAGGCATATAGGATCAGACCTACAATGCCAAGCTGGGATTATAGTATTACAGTTGTATTCATGGCTAAGAACCCAATGTAATACCCTGAACAACTCCTTCTATGCTTAGTAGAGGGCAGCTGCAAGAGTCAATATCGTCTTGTCTTCCGTATATTAATCATATTCTCCTCAGCAATAACATCACTGTGAGGAAGAGAGAAAGTGTGTTCTGTCTTTTACATAATGATGTGATTAAAAAAGGTCAACTGGTTTGTGAATACCAATGAGGGCATCTACAACAGATTGTGTTCGCTGCACTCAGAAGCAGATAAATGCAAACATTGATTGGCTTCTTTCAACATTTATTAGAAACAAAAGATTGCTTTGTTAGTATGACAATGCAAAAGTACAGTAGGAGAGATTTAGTAGCATTTAGGAAAGCAAGATAATACCAGAGGGATGATATCTCTTTAATGCATGGCGCAGGTGATACATTTAACCTGTTCTTGTTACACAGGACAGTTCCCACTGTCAAGAAACAAGGATTTCCCTGCTGCTCTTATCCTGCATTAGCCTTTTGACAGGGTGCCAGAAAGCAAAAAGCTGCTGAGAACTGAGAAAATAAAGCAAAAGGGTGGAAGAAATAAATGGTCACTGTCTCCTGAAATCATGAATATAAGTATTTAAAATGCATTAGAAGTACTTGAATTCAGGTTCAAGTTATTTTTAAGTATCATTTTTTGTAGCATAGTGTGCAGTGTGTGCTGAACCACCTTACCTAAAAAACCCAAACATCCATATGGTTACAATAGTGAAAATATCATAAACCATCCCTTTGTTTCAAATAATGAAATTGTAGATAGAAGGAAATGTCTGGGGGGGGGGGGTTTTTCCTGGGTTTGTCTCTCCCTGGAGGAAACCTGGGCTGAATTTGAAATTGGGGGAAGTTTCACCATGAACTTTACAGCAGCAGCACACGGGGGGAGCCAGCAGAGAGCCCGCTGTGCAGGGAGCTCGTGGAGGGAGCAGGGGGATGCACAGAGACCCCGGCGAGCACCTTGGGGTTGGCCTCCAGAGACCAAAATATGTACTGTACAGAGGCTGGGTGTAAAGTCTGAAACCTTCCCTCAGCCGAACTCCTGTCCCACAGCAGGGGATGCTTCACTGTCACTGGAGCTCTTCCTTTATCATTGGACACGCAGCTGGTTACATACAGACCTCTCGAGAAATACCTACAAACACCCAACCTGGATTCTATTTCAATAATTGTCATTAAATGAGAAAGGTGAATAGGGCATATGTACCATGCCAGGGGAGAAAGAAAAAGGAAAAAACAAAAAGGCAAAAAAGAGTGCCTTTTGTTTCTCTAGAGCTTCTGGGCAAAAATCCAGGCTCCACCAAAGTCATTGGCAAAACTTCTATTGACTTCAGTTGGGTAAAGCTTTCACTCCTGACCCTTGTAAAACCAAATGTAGGAAAAGGTGGCTTCTTCCCGATTTTAGTTTTTGTTTAGAAGCCAAGAAGAAAAATAGCAAAATCCAATAAACTGCTTTTTAATTGCTGTTTTGGATGTATGAGAGCAGGAGAAGTGCATTGAGGGTAACATTTGGAGCTCAGCTCCTGTCCCTGATGCAGGTGAGCAGTCCCCCGTGGCAGGAGGAGGCTGGTTTCAGGGAAATGTGGAGGGCTGGTCAGCAGCACCCTCCGGTTGAACAAAGCAATCTCAAACCCCATTCCCTTGGGTTTTGTCCAAATTTAAGGCTGTGTCAGTATAGCGCAGCAATATGACTCTATCAGCAGCCTTCCTCAGGTGGAGACAATTACACTGGCTAAAAATCTGATTGCTGGTATAGCTGGTTCATTTTAACAAACAATAC